ATTTTAATCATTAGGGCCTCTGAGTTTTCCATCTCTTTTCTTTGATAGTACTTATAGTTGTAGGTTTTACATTCAGGTCTTTGATCCATTCAGTTAGTTTTTGTATATAGTATGTGATATGGATGCTGTTTCACTATTCTACAAATGAAGATCTACTTTTACTAGTGTCACTTGGTAGAGAAACTATTTCTTCCCTGTATAATGACTTAATTTAGGCCTTTGTCAAGTGTCAGCCATCCACAGATGGATAGATTTACTTCTCAGTTTTCAATTTTTATTGGTCTAGATGTTTGTCAATGTCCTAGTGCCAGTACACTACTAGCACACATTTGTTTTGCTTATAGTAGCTGCATAAGCTAACATCCAGTCGATGCTCCTACTGACCTCCTGTGAGCTTTAATCATTTATGGGAGTAGAAAGCCCAGTCTTTCTCCTGAGGATCTGCTGATGGGTTTGAACTGCTATGTGGTTGGCAACCCAACAGGCAGTCAATATAGCACCAGGGCTCTACAGAGGCGGTATAGTAGCTTTTAATATTGAAGTGTGAGGTCTCCTACTTTATTCATTAGTGGTGCTTTCCTTTTTAAGGTTTTCTTTCCACACAAAGTTGATTTGTTTTTCCATATTTTTAAAGGAGGATGATTAGATCTAGATTAGGATGGTAATATATCTGTCGATTACATTGAGGGTTGTTATCAGGTGCCATCCAGTGGGTTCCAACCCAAGTCAACCCTATGTACAACAGAATGAAACACTTCCCAGGCCTATGGCATCCTCACAGGCATTGTTAGGTTTAAGTCCATTGTTGCAGCCAGTGTGTCAACCCAACTCATTGAAAGCCTCCCTCTTTCTCACTGACCTCCTACTTTTAATTTAAGTCTTTCTATTCATGAGCATGGTATAGGTGTTGTCCACTTATGTAGGTCTCCTTTGGTTTCTTATAGTAATGTTTTATAGTTATCCTTGTATAAAAATCTAAGTACTTTATCTTAGATTTTTATTAGTCATCTCTATTAGATGACAATTCTCAAGCAATCCTAACAAATAGAAACCAGCAGAATATAAAACAAATAGTAATTTTGACCAAATGGTATTCATACCAGATATGTAAGGATGGTTCAACATTAAAAAAATAATCAACATTGTCCACCACAAAAAGTAAACAAATGACAAGAAACACACGAATGTATCAATTAATGCAAAAAAGAGGCATTTAGGAAAATACAACAACCATTCCTGATAAAAAATGCTCAGCAAAATGAGAGCAAAGGGAAATCTCTTAAAGTAATTTAGGACTTTAGGACTTGCATATAAACCAATGGCTAACACTCTTCTCCATAGAGAGAGACCTAAAAGAATTTCTTTGTGACCAGTAACCAGATCCAGATGCCTTTTATTTCCACTCCCATTCAATGTTGCACTGGGAGTCCTGGTCAGAACAACAAAGTACAAAGGGAAATAAAAAGACATCTATAGTAACCATCTCCACTTGTAGATTATATGATCCTCGATAACGGTATCTTGGAGATGTTGTGCATTCAATTCTAGACCACTGTGAGAAAGCGAGTCTAACAATTAAGTGAGTTTGCTTTCCAAATTCATTTAAAAGTTAAATTTGAACTGTAGTTTAGTTTATTAATTTTCCAATAACATTATGAAAAAGTTTGACATTTCGCTAGAATTAATGAAATATGACACAGATACTGAGTGAGCAGTGAACTAACTGCCATCAAGTTGATGCCAACTGTAGGACTCCCAGTGGGTTACTGAGATGGCAACTAATTACAGGAGTAGAAAGCTTCATCTTTCTTCCATGGAGCCACTAGTGGTTTCAAACCGCTGACCTTGCCGTTAGCAGTTCAAGGCATAACCACTGTGTCACAAACTGTCAAAAACATTTCTCCAGTAGATTTGACACAAAATTGTCACAAATTTTCAATTTGTAAAAACAAAATTCTAGACATTTGCTTTCTATTGAGCCCTCGGTACCAGCTCTTTTTTTACCCCAACTCTCCCAATAGATAGTATGTTGTTATTATTTTCATCTGTCACACCAACCAGTCTCCCTTTCCCCATGCTTTCTGTTGTTCTTCCCCCTGTAGAGGGGTGTATGGTTATGTGTCGATCATTGCACTTGGTTCCCCCCTTCTCCCTTCCTCTCCCCCTCTTCCCCCTCCCCTCTCGGCATCACCATTCCCACTCCTGGATTCTGTGTCATGAGCTCCCACCCCTTTCTATACCTGTGTACATGTTCC